GAAAAATTCAAAATATAGTAAAATAGGTAAGATATTCGGCAGACTCTCATTTATTAACTAGTAAGTTTCTAAAGACTCACAGTTCTGGTCTTTTAATCCATTTTCATGTGCATTTCCATAAACTAAATTTTTCACATTATGGACAAGACAAGAAAAAGAAAATGAAGAAGAAGGAAATAAACAAACAAACAAAAATAAAAACAAAACAAAACAAAAACAAAACAAAAACCCCACATTCTTTAATTTTTTCACACAATACTGTCATTCTGTTATATCTAATGTTGCTTTCAGGATCTAATTTTGCAGCATTCAAGGACAGAATAGGCCATGAAATAAAGAACCTACTTTTACTCTCTTCAGTACACTCAAGGCATACAGCACATTTTTACACAGTGGCCAGTTCCAACACATACACTTGTTTCTGGCACACAGTGGCACAGTTCATGGTGGTACTACATGGTGCCCAGTAGACATTGAGAGACAAGTGCTTTGCACCAGCATGGATATTATTAATCATAAACACAGGTAACCTCTTGTGGACTAATGAGTGTAGAAACCTTTGCGAAAAAAAGCATGATTTTAGAGCTCAGTTACTGTTCTTTCTAACTTACTCGGCAAAATTATATTTATCGTTAATTTGACACATTTCTTAGATAGATTTGCCAAGTGAACCTCTTGCTAGACTGTTACCAACTGTTGACATTTGGGTAGATTTAAACAAACCAAAGGCATTTTCTTCACACATTTAGGACAGAATCATATTCAACCCTTGCACAAAGGAACAAATATAATTGATGAGCTGGACTTCTCTTTCTGCACTAGTCCATTCTACATATTTTGCACTTACTACTAAATGTGTTGTCACTACTTTTAAAGAGACTGATGATCCATTTGGAATTCAGAATGTGTAATATAAGCACAGAGTGATTTATATATAGGTATGAAGGTGACATATTATGCCCTGAGGCACAAGTGCCCAGCGAGATCGCTTAAAAAGGGGCAACCCATCTCTAAAGTTATCTAAGAGTGAACAGAGACCACTTTCCTTTTCTCAGATAAGATCTTTAATAATCTTCAACAATTTTTGAGAAGTAGACTAGACAAGGAAACCATGACAAATATAAAAATCATGTGAAGGTGACTTTGCAAACTGCATCAATCTTTCCTATACCACTAACTGCAAGAAACTTGATTTTTTGTCATTCCCTTTTCAGTGCTCTTTCTTTTTGTACCTTTTTTTTGAAAGCAGAGAAAGAGATGGTGAACAGTGCAACTTTGCTAAATTAAGTAAAAGAAAAAGCACTTCTATATTTACATTTGTTTTGTCATATACTCCATTTAAAATCTAAAAGTGCAAACCACTCACATTTTATGCTTCACATCACTGTCAACTTGAGTATAGATTTGTCTGTATTGATCTCCATGGCAATCAGGAATCATATTGAATATAGTCTGACTAAGTTAACAATTGACTTTACTGTCAATAGCAACAACATTATTGTCTGCATACAACATGATGTGTTACCATTTACTGCCTCAACTTGCCTGTTTTTGGAATTTCTTGACCGTTTTTGTCAAGGTTTCCATTACTGTATTAAATAAGATAGGTGAAAGGTAATCAATTGTTTATTGGTTTTTTACTAGGTGGAAAAAATTGAAATGGGTCTGAAGAAGTAGAAATTATGAAAATTATTAACCTTGCACTAACACTGCATGTATCCTACATACAATTGCATTATATACTTCCCTCCTTCCCCTCCTCCCCAGCCCAACATCTCCATGAACATGTGATAATCTAATAGAATTAATAATTTATATTATAAAATAAAAAAACTGTATGTGAAATGTAGGAATTATGGTTAACACTCCTACTGTAGCTCCCATCAAACCATAACGTGTGCATCCTAGTTTCTAATAAGACAACCTGCTCCATTTCTTGCTTTTACTGTAAGCACATTCAGTTAAATCCTTAGGTATCTAAGGATAAACTACAGAAATAGCATAAGGGGAATCCTGAGAAAAGAAAAGAAAAATGCATATTTTTACCTCCAGGGCTTAGTTCTTGAGGGGATATGTAGACATCTTTTGATGTTTATAGTTGAAGTGCTTTGTTTATCAAACATGGAAAATATGAAACCTTGTGGCAAGTGATTATTTACCTAAAGTTGCTTGTCATATTGTTGTGGTTTAAATCCAGTCAGCAACCAAGCCCACATAGCTGCTCATTCACTGCCCCACCATCAGGACAGGGAAGAGAATCAAAAGGATAAAAACTAGAAAAGTCATGGGTTGAGATACTGACAGTTTAATAGGGAAAGTAAAAGCTGTGCACACAAAGAAAACCAAGGTATTGATTCACTGCTTCCTACAGGCAGGCAGGTGTTCAGCCTCTCCAGCAGAGCAGGGCCCATCCCATGTAACGGTGTTTGGGAGGACAAACACCATCACTCTAAATGTCCCTTCCTCCTTCTTTCCCCAACTCTGTATACTAAGCATGATGTCATATGGTATGAAATGCCCCTTTGGTCAGTTTGGGTCACCTGTCTCACCTGTTTCCCCAGCCTCCTGGACAGTGTGTCAGTATGAAAAGCAGAAAAGGTTTTGGCTCTGTATAAGCCCTACTCAGCAATAACAAAAACATCTCTGTATTATCAACCCTGTGTTCAGCACAAATCCAAAACAGATATTAGCCACTGTGAAGAAAATTTACTCCAGCCAAAACCAGTATATATACATACAAAATAAAGGGTTAATAAAATTTTTTTGCAAAGATATTTAAATACCTTTAAATTTTACCTTTTGCTGTCCTTGAGGTGCCTGGAAGTGGTCTTATACTAGACCGTGTAAGAAAAAAATCTTTTAAAGACACTGAAACAAAAGTATTCATTAAAATTCTATAAAGGATTGTTCAAAATTTTATATCATAAGTTAATCATTGTACACTGGTGTGTACAATGCCTTTTTTTGGACACACAAAATTCTACTTGAGAAGTACTCTTTTGAAAAAACACCATTTGCATACATTCAAAAAGCAGTATAAAGCTACATTTGTTTATATTTTCATCTATGCCAATATAGATATAGTATTCAAATATTTTGAAAACATTCAAATATATGTGTGTGTATATATATGTATAGATATGCAGCTGTATATGTATATATATGTGAATATATATGTGTGTTTGTGTGTGTGTTTTTTATCTTGTTTTGATAAATTCTAAAAATTAATTATGCCCATCATATATGAAAATGATCAAGCTTTTTCCTTATTATGTAGTAAAAAAAAAAAAAAGTGAAAATGAGACAAAAACAATTTTCTTCTTTTTCCTGCCTTTCTGTCATTCACTGCTACCAGTAAATAGTAGAGAAACAATTATAGACCTGAGAGAGAGAAAAAAAGAATATGAGAAAATCAAGCTGCAAAGGCTGAACATGAGGAAAAACTTGTTTGCTGTTATGAAGATATACAGAAAAACAAAGACAGGAACTTGGACAAAATTGAAAAGCAGAAGGTTAAAGAAATAGTCAGGAATGGATGAATAAATAGCAATTTCAGAGAAAACCTCAGGGCAGCTGGATACAGACAGACATTTCAAATGAGATGGGTATTTTGAAAAATTAGGAAAGAGGAGAGTTTGAACTATTTTGCTTCATGAATGGATTTTCATAATTCATATTTTGCTGTTGGTTTTGAAGGAGGGCATTACTTGGTAAATGATGTAATACCTTGTAAGTTCATGAGATCAGTGTTGGCTGTCTCTGATCCTTGTAAGTAAATATGAATACCAGAAAACATTAGAAGTACATATTGTATTTCCCTGTTCTGCAGCTAGATGTTGGAAGACATTATTTTAATACTTTTCAGATTCTCAGTAGGTATTTTAAGGGTTTTTTTGACGTACAGATACTTTTATGACAGTGAACAACAGCACTTCCTTCATGCCCCTACTCCCTCTTTCTAGAAATAGGAGAGACCAAATAGTACTGCAGCTGTGTGCTGTTGTGGGGTCAGACTTTTGTCATAGCTGCCTTTAAATAAAGTTTGTCATTTCATAAGCAGCAGTTTGACTTCTGGCAGATAGCATGTTATTGCTTCTGTCTTCACCATCTGTTCTATAAAATATATATCTACATCCAAAGGGAATGTAAATAATCACTCTCCTTGAATAAAGAAATATTTCTACTTATTGCATATCTGCCTCAAAGGAAATAGCAAAGTTCCTGATGAAATTTAGTGAGGTAAAATATTACAAGGAATGAAATCAATCTAAAAATTACTATTATTCTTGTGTTTTCCTTTGAACATAACAAAATCCTTTTCAAAATCATCTTTTGAAGTACGTACTTTAAAAAGTTATTGAGAGACTAAGGGTATCCCTATTCTTTATATTCTTCAGTCAGTTTGGCTTAACATTGATCATCTTTTCTTGTAACTACCTGCTTTCAAGAAAAGCTTGATACGAAACTGAACAACCTGAGGAAGACTATTAGCCCTTAATGACTAATCGGATTTATTCCCAAGGAATGTTTTGTGATTGCTTTTGTTTTATTAATTATTAAAACCAGTGATAAGATTTAGAGTATTTTTTGATTTTCTTTTTACTTTCTTTTGTTCTAGTCAGGGTAGCAATGATATGATCTATCCAAGAAGTGTTTAGTCTCAGCTATTTGGATTCTTTAGACTGAACTCAGTTGCCCAAAGCTGTAAAATGCTTTTTTAGACCCTCCATAATATCACAGAATCATAGAACATGTAAGGGTGAAAAGTACCACTGGAGATCATCTAGTCCCACCTTGTCAAGCAGGGTTCCCTGGAGCATGTTACCCAAGATTTTGTCCAGATAACTTTTGAATATCTGCCGAGAAGAGACTCTACAACCTCTTTGGGCAACCTGTTTCAGTGCTCTGTCATCCTCACAATAAAGAAATTCTTCCTCGTGTTCTGTTGGAACTGTCTGTGTTCCAGTTTCTGCCCATTGCCTCTTGTGTATTGCTCAGGACCACTGAGAAGAGCCTGGCTCCATCTTCTTGACATTCTTCCTTCAGGTACTTGCATGCATTGACAAGATCCCCTCTCAATCTTCTCAAGGCTGAAGAGGGCCAACTCCCTCAGCCTTTCCTCATAAGAGATATGCTTGAATATCCTTATCATAGTCATAGCCCTCTTCTGGACCCACTCCAGGAGCTCCATGTCTCTTTCGTACTGAGGATCCCAGAGCTGTTCACAGCATTGCAGGTGAGGCCTTACCAGGGCTGAGTAGAACTACTTGCTGCAGTTCCTCCCAGGATATCATTGGCCTTCTTGACTACAAGGACACACTAGTGGCTTATGGATAGCTTGTTATCCACCAGAACTCCCAGGTCTTTCTCCACAGAACTACTTTCAAGTAGGTTGGCCCTCAGCCTGTACTGGTGCAGGAGGTTATCCTTCCCCAGGTTCCCTTATTGAATTTCAGATGTTTCCTCTCTGTGCATCTCTCCTGCCAGAGTCTTTCTGAAGATCTGCACAGTACTGTGGGGTATAGGCCACTCCTGCCAGCTTTGTGTCATCCACAAAGTTGAAGGTGTACTCTGTCCCTTTATCCAATAAGTTAAACAAGACTGGATCCAGTATTGACCCTTGGAGGGCACCACTAATTACAGCACTCCAACTAGAATCTATGTAGCCGATTACAACCCTCTGAGACCCACATTCAGCCAGTTCGCAATTCACCTTACAGTCCACTCTTCCAGCTTGCACTTCCTAAGTACTTAGCTTAAATTCCAGATGCCCTCCAGAATGGTATAGACATAAAGCCCTTAAGTCATATCATAGAATGGTTTGTGTTCAAAGCGACCTTAAAGACCATCTAGTTCCAAACCCCCTGCCACGGGCAGGGCTACCGTTCACTGGACTAGGTTGCTTAGAGCCCTATCCAACCCGGCCTTGAACACTTCCAGGGATAGGGTATCCACAAATTCTATGGGCAACCTGTTCAAGTGTCTCACCACCCTTACGGTAAAGAATTTCTTCCTAATATCTAGTCTAAACGTACCTTCTTTCACAGGAGAAGCTTCCAGCAGGTTCTCAGAGAAGCCCACCCATGAAGACTTCCCCATCTCTGCAAACTTTGCCACACAAACCCAATACAAGGTTAAAGTTTTCTCTCCTGAAATTCAGAGTTGTGTCCTTGCTTTTTGTACTGCTTCCTCCTTTTAGGATAATGAATTCCACCTTCTCATGGTCACTGCAGCCAAGGTTGCCCTCAGATTTAAATCCACAACTGATTCTTCCTCATTCAGGTTCAGGTAAGAACCTCCCCTTGTCATCTTCTTGATCAACTTTGTCAGGAAATTGTCATCAATGCAATCACAGATTGCTTGTGCACCGATACGTAGTCATTGTAGCAAATTTTGAGGTGGCAAAAATTCTCTATGAGGACCAGGACCAGTCATTGTTAGCTTTCTATTGTTTAAAGAAGGATTTATGTGCTTCTTTTTCCTAATAAGGAGCTGCATTGCACGTAAACTACAATGGCCATGTTGATTTGGACACTAATATTGACCCATAAGCTCTCAACTGACTCCTAATCTGTCCAAAGGCAGAGCTCCATGTGTTCCCAATTCTCGTGCAGAATGTACAACTCTCTCTACTCCATTACCAGATCTGATCTCCCCAAAGAACCTGTATCAATCCATTGTAATTCTCCAGAGATGTGAAACATGACCATATTTAGTTATTAAGCTTCTTCTAAATTAAAAATATTCTTTCCTTTATATGCCTTAAGCTTGATAATTTTTAGCAATTTTTGATTGAATTCTGATCAAGTGAGTGTATAAAATGTAAGTTTTGTCAAAACTAACTGCAAATTATGGTAGAAAAAAAGATGACAATTACTTAGAATTCTATCACTTTTGAGGTTTTTTGGTTTACTTGGAAGTATCTCACCACCCCAAAGGACTCAATTCAGTAATCCCAATGCCCATACAAAAAGTGGTAGACATGAACCCGATACATTTGCACCTCTTTGAAGAATCAACAATGTATATTCCTTGTTTCTTGCTTCTCGACTCATGTTCACACAGGTGAATATTCAAACTTTAGAAATGAAACACAGGAGGGAAGCCTATAGTTATGTGTCTTAGATTTCTAACCTATATTGCTGAAAGTATTTTACTTTTCTACTTGTGACTATGTACTTCTTAGAACCACAATGTATTTCCTGGTAATAATAACAATATAACTACTCACTCAGCAACCAAACATTTGTAATTCTTTTGAAAGAGTAACATTCATTCAAATGAATAGAAGACCTGAAGAAAAAGTCAAACTATACAACATCACCATTTGAATCCTAAATAAATACATGAATCCTAAAATAAAAATTTTATCTTTAGTAGCAAAGGAAACATGGTAATATTATTTATGATAGTTAAACAAGCAATTAACTTGACTCAGGATAGTTGTATTCAATATATAAAAAGATTTTTGTGCAGTCTGTTATGAATCACTGCCATGGAAAATTTCAAGCCTAAGAAAATATTCTAGTAGATTAGAGAAACAGCAAATATTGCAGTTTTCAAATACCATCCTGAAAGTTTTACATGCTCTGAATTTGGAACATAAAATCTTACCTGAAGAATTGAAATCTATTTTATAAAAATAGCAATTTAATAAAGCTACTGCTGAGAATAGTTTTTTTATAATAATGTGAGATTTATATAAACTGCTAAATTAATTTCAAAGACTATGGTTAATTTTCTGAATGTACTGGAATACATAGAGTATTTGACAAGGGGAATCTAATTAAGATGAAATATCATTTGAATACTGTTTTAATCTTACTTATCTCAATCAGGTATGTATTAACACATCCTTTCATTTACATTTCAGGCATTGATTTCATATGCAGTTTCTCACAATGAATGATGACACTGAGAGTAAGAGAGTGTAGCTTTGCTGCATTCTTACCTATTGTCATATTCACAATCAGCAAAAACTTGGTTTTTTGCATACAGTGAGAACAGAGGTATAAAATATCTTCACAACAGTTTCTTCTCAACAATTCAAAAACCTGTTTTCTTGTTCCTTTCTTGTTAAAAATCAGTAACATTTTTCTATCAGTCTCTCTAATGTTGTAGTGTTTAGTGTTGATTAAGTAACTTCAGAATTTTAGAGTTAACGATAATTTTATTAGTTTTATAGAGATTCATATTTTTCTTTTAGGACAAGTATAGCTAGAAAAAATATTAGAAAATTTTCTAGAGCTGATTTCAGTGAAAAAAATGCTAAAGTCAGAATGAGTGTACTAAAAGTAAATATTTAAATAAATATGTTTTGGAATATGCATGATCTTTTAATTAGTAGTGGAAGTTCACAGGCTATTTATTCACCTGACAGTACATAGTGTCAGGATTTGTCTTGTGTGGATCTGATTTTAATTTCTTTTAGCAGCTCACATTCCACCACAAAGAATTCTGTTCTTTGTTGTCTTCTTGTTACCTGAGCCCCACTCAGTTCAACTCAAGTAAGACTAGCACAGGTGAATTTGGGACAAAAAGAGCATTGAGAGTGTGAGTATAGCACAATGGGAGAGTTAGATGCTAGGAAGTTTGTGTTTAAAAATTTTGATGGTTTTAGTAGTGGTGTGTTTCTATTAAAACTAGAAAAATTCAGGTATGAATGGAAGTAACATTGTAACTAAACTAGTGAGTTCATTGTAGGTTTGATTCCTACAGTATTAGTTGGACTAACAATAAAATTTTATTGCTTCCTTATGCCCCAACATTATTCTGAGTATAATTTCAGACTAATCCAAAATGGGGACGGGGAAGGAGTCAATTACCACAGAATCATAGAGTCATGGAATATCCTTAGTTGGAAGGTACCCACAAGCACCACTGAGTCCAACACCCTGCACAGGACAACCACAAAAATCACACCATATTTCTGAGAGTATTGTTTTTTGAATTCTGACACATTTGGTGCCATGGCCACTTCCCTCAGGAGCCTATTCCAGCACTTGACGACCCTCTGGGTGAAGAAACTTTTCCCAATGTTCAACCTGAACTTCTACTGACACAGAGTTTTTGAAGGGTAAATGGACTTGGAATTCCAAAAGTTACTTTCTTTGGCAGACATCTTTAGCCATGCTTCTATTTCAGGAGAAGGTAAGGGGGGAGAGCAAAAATGTTTGTTGGCAACAGTAGCTTGTCTGTTTGTGTCAGGGGAAATTCAAAGAATAATTTGTGCAGATGCTTGTTTAAGAGGGAAAAAACCGCAGCCAACTCAACTTCCTGTATTCCCTGTCTATTGCAAACATGACTGCATAGTTTCTTCCCTGCTTTTCCTGTAAGGCTCTCTTAGGCTTCAAGCTGTTCAACCTACTGAGTTCTCTTTACTCCAAAACATGCTTATATAGGTGGGTGTGTCTTGGTTCAGTCAGAGTCAAACAGTGAGGGAGAAGATGTTGGAGTTTCCTTCTTTCATACATATACATATATATATGTCAATATATACTAGCCCCTGAGTGTTAGAGAAAGAACAAGGGATGCTTTGTGAATAGATATATGGGTTAGGTAACCAACCTTGTGTAAGTTATCTGATGTGGACAAAGGTTTGGAGAAAAATGTAGCAAATAATGCAAAGGGAGTTAGCTAGCCCTTGCTATATTTTTTTTCTACTCTGTTTGCTAATGAGGTGTAAAAGTTATTGATTAATGAAATGAGTCAGTCAGAACCTTATGAAAATTGTGCTTTTCCAGACTGTGTGTGATTAAAATGCTTCAATGAGAGCAAACAAAAAAATCCCCAACCCAAACCAAACTAAAAACCCCCCAAAACAAACAAAGAAACAAAACTCTACCTTCTTTTAGTTTAAAAGCATTATGACTGTCCTACGGCAGCAGGCACTACTAAAGAGTCTATCCCCATCTTTTTTATAAGTTCCCTATAAGTATTGGAGGACCTCAATAATGTAACTCAACCCTATTCGAGTTCCTGTATTTGATTCCCAGGACTTCCTGAACCTTCTCTCTGCACACTGCTTATTCCATTCCTTTGGTACAGAATTAGAATTCTGCTCTGAAACTAAGAACCATATATGATATGGGACGCATTTTCTAACAATGAAATTTCTATGTTATTTGCTGTATCAGCAAAGTCTAACACGCAACTCATAAGATTTCAGTGTTTTGGAGAGGGGTTAATGAATGAACTGGAATGTAAGTAGTAAAAAAATTAATTTATATTCTACTA